ACAGGGTGTGGAGCATGGACTCATCCGCCCCGGTGCTCACGGTGGGCGTGTTCGACGAGCGCGAGCAACCGATTGAGTGGAGCAACAGCCTGTCGCAGGGCTTGAGCAGTGACCTGTGGACTGGGGACGTCAGGAATGTCGAAAAGTGGGCAGGGCCTGCTGGCTCGGACGCTGAGATTGTCATTGTCAACGTCAGCACGAGCGGTGAGGAGATCGGGGCTGCGTTTGGCGGGTAACGTGGTATGTTTTTGGTGCCCAGTGTCTCAAAATTCTCATTGACATCCGGTCGTTCCATAGCACCGGTTGAGCGTGCGAGTCCGGCGGTGATGCTTGGAAGCAATAGAGCGCAGCTACGATCATATTCTCAGGTGAGACTCTCCTTGCGCAGGGCGTGCAGTCTTCGAACGCCGCATGAACGCTGCGTCTCATCATAGCCCAACGATGTTCGAAGTACGCACAAGTATGAGCCATTTTCTCCATCAAGATGTCCTTAGCGACGTCAAGACGCACAGGGTAAGCGATTCTTCAGACATGAATTTGCGATTCTCCTAACGTAATATCTGTACACATTCATAGCAAGATCACTTGTAGGACAGAAGAAGTCTCGATCACCCGCAAGGTACAACGGTCGTTTGGAGCGTCGACAGCTATCAATTACACACATGGATCGAATCCCTTCAGGTAGGGCTCATGATCCTGAAGATCTTCAATCCCCCTTGCGACGAGGCATGACAAAACGGGAGAACCTGTAATCATTGATGCCTACAGTCGCGTGGCCGGCCTGGCGTGCCATGGCACCGCTGCGAAGGTGGACATCAGCCGTACGTCTTGGCAGATGAGATATGAACATCGTACCTCTTTTCGAATATTTCTATTATGTGGTCCTGGGCTGCATTCCGCAGGACCTTGAGTGCATCCTTTCTCCAGGTGAAGTCCTCGTATCCCATCTCAACCAGGGGCTGATTCAGTTCGCGCTTGAACTGTGGCATAGATATGCCCTTCTCGGCAGGATCAAGATGTATCACCCTTATCGGGGTGAGCACGTCGCGGACGATACGCATGTCTTCGGCTTCGACTGTCCCGCGGCGCGCAAGCTTGGCCTGAACGGAGCTGTGACAGCGTGAAAGGGCGTGAGTACGACCTGACTTGGGCGTGCTTATCTCTTGTGAAATAGATTGACAAGGCTATCCTCGGCTCCTTCTTGCAAGGCTAGGATCGCCTCTTCTTTCCAGTGCATTGCAGAGTCAATATCGTTCGCAATCTCCTCGATCTGGGATGCCGTCAGCGAGGGGGGGGAGCAAGTTGAACGCGCTCTCACCAATTTCAGGAACGCAGCTCGAGGGATCGCGGGTACGACCTCCTCCTCCGTCTCCTTTTTGGCATCATCGTCACTAACCCTACTGTTGCGATTGCGGCTGCCTTCATCGGCCGCTTATGAGCCCGCGTCAGGACGATGTCGGACCCTGCAGGGACCCGTAGCACAGACATAATGCTCACCTTTTCCGCCATGCATCCCTTCAGTGGCTGTAATCCTTAAGCTGCAACAGAATCTTAGTGAGAAGTACAAGCAATGGAGTGAGAGCGCAGGCAAGAGATGTGCGGTCAAGATACCTCGAGGTACCGGGGTCCTTTTCGATGCTCTGCAACCATTGCTCCCGGTCAGCGTCTCCCGGCCCGGGGGCCCTCCGCCGCCACCGCGCAGGGAATGGACCACACAGGCTAGTTTCTCCTTCGTCACACCCAATCTCGGTACTTCTGCCCCCCCCCCTAGCTCACGCTTCCTCAAGGCTCAGTACACCGGCGCGACTCCTCCACCTAACGTCCCGCCCAGATCCATTGGCTCCCCGATAGGCACCCCAAGGCCACCGTCCAACAACCTTCCACTTGCTGCGGGGGAACCTTCCTCATACAGTTCCAGAGGATTTGCTAGCGATATCGGCGCTGGTCCCTCCGTCGGAGCCGCAGGGTCTCACGGCGACAATCCTTTCGACGACTTGATAGACGAGGAGAAGGTCAAATTTCTAGGAAATATTGGTTTATCTGCAGGAAAACTCGTCAGAACAATGGCGCAGGCATTTCAGATTCAGCAGCCGGCAGTTCGTCCCGTCCCGACTCTGTTTCGGGCAACTTCTTCGGTCTCGCGATTCCGCCCACAGCGGGAAGGCACCGAGCCGTTCTCAGTGCCGTCTGATGCTCCAGCGGCCGATACAGCGTGAATAGTACCTGTCACGAGTGTGTCTGTCGTACTGCCTCCCGTATTCAGTGCTAACCTCTTATCATGGGCAATACAAATGGCAGGCCGATAAGAGGCGTCACGCTGCTCGTCCTCGCACCGCTTCATACGCTGGTTCCAACCACCCGGAGCCTGCTCACCCGGCTTTTGAGCACATACACGAAGCAGGAGGTTTTCGCCGTACGTATGTCGTGGTGAACGATCTCGAACGTGCCATCGACCGTCCGATGGTTCAGAAAATCAATGCATTCCCCTACATCCGCCGAGGGGGGATCGGGCGCCCGGAGATGGTCGGGGACAGTCAGGTGCTGGGACGAAGCCGCGCGCGTTGCTGAGGGAATGGCGGGGAGGTGCTTGCTGAGAGTGGATGGCTGGGGACTTGAGCTTGAGGGTCGCGTCGAGCGTAAAGAGTGAGGCCGGCTGATCACCATCCGCTTTGTCGTAGTGAACGAGCGACTTGCCCGGCGCGAGCCCGGACGTTCTGCTTAGCCCTCCACCACGATCGGGAGCTCCTCCCTTCCGCCGCCAAATGTCAGACTGTCAGGGGGCAGAGCGCCAAGGCAACTTGGCCGAGCTCTCAGCGGTTGACTTGATTTTCCGGCGGCTCGGCTGGCGGGACGATGCGGCGAAGATTGCTCCAGAGCCGGCGCTGAGCGCTGAGCGCTAGCGCTGAGGCCTGAGGCCTGAGGCCTGAGGGATCGAGTCGGCGCTGGCGTCCATGGTGTGGACTGGGGCAGAATCGCGGAAGGTAGTAGGTGTGCGGGTGATGGGCGTATATTGCGAACTTTGAGAATTGGCGTAGTCAGACGGGGTAACATTGTCGAGCGGACCCTGTTTCTTCTCCGTTCCTGTACTGACTTCCGACGCAGACTGAAGCCGCACGATATCGGAGCCAATGAGGCTCGACTTCTTTGGTCGCTCCGGCACGCGCTCCATGTCCTCGATGATGACTTCGACATGAGGACGTTGTGGCTTGGTGCGAATGGGCATGACTGTAGGGCCATCTCTGCCGGTTACGAAGCCCTTGTGGAGAAGCACGTATGCAATCACTTCTGTGGATACTTCGACCTCCAGCCGCTGTTGCTCCCCACCCCTATGCGTACTGTTGCCATGGTTATCTTTCAAGCTGACCGGTAGTGTACGCGGCAGAATGTTGCCAATTTGCCGCTGCCATTCTGCCAGTGGCAACTGCCGTTCTGCCATCGGGCCTACGCTGGCAGATATTGGCAGATATCGTGGGCGCTAATTTTAGAAATGATCGTAGGGACTTTTTTCCGGAAGCTTTCGATGCTTGTACTCACAAAAGCCCTAGAGAAGTATCAATATATGATTTCTGTGAAAGCACCGCGTTTTGTGGACTCAGGACGATACTGATTAGACTCTTTCTGCAAGCGGTTCAGAACCAGACCATATCTCAGTGATCTCTGAACCAGTGGTGCTGGTGGTGCGGTGGGGATGTGACGTTGACTGCTCCAACAAGCGTCTAACCCCCCTTTTATGAACGCATTCACACGTTACGGTATACAAGACGCGAAAAGTCAAGATTCCATACCATCTTACCTCACGGAAGCAATGTGAACTATGTCCAACAGCGCCGAGAACCGTCTTCCACCTGGCTGGATCCAGGCATATCACGAAGGCGCTGGTACCTACTACTATGTACGGGTTTTCCACGTCTCCTAACTGTCTGCCACTGATGGTGCAGATTTACAGATCAATCGCAATGCCGACCCGCCTTACAGCACTTGGGAATCTCCCTCCCAAGCCACATCCACCAATTCCGCACGCGCACCGAGCCCTCCCCTAATCAGGCCCGCCTCCCACTCGCCGAGTCCAGAGTTCACCGGTTCACCCCCGAGCATCCTTCTTCCGATCCGTCTCCCGCACAGTCTCCCGAGCCCGAAGACTTGATCCCAGCTCCCCAGGCTGGTCCGGGACCCCAGCGCTTCTCTGCGCTTGAACTCCAGCAAATAGTCGCAGTGACTACGGCCAACAACCCATTCCTTGCGGAACATGGTCGCAAGGCCAAGGCATGGGCCAAGGTTGCGGCGGAGCTGCACTCGCAGCATCTGTGCCTGAACTCAACTGCGGACAGCATCAAGCACAAGGTCAAGAAATTAATTGAGTATCACGAGGTTCATTCTGGCATATAACAGCATTTGTGGCGCATATACTGACAGGTTCCCAATCAGAATCCAAATCCCCGCTCTGGTATCGCTCGGGCTTTGGCCGAGCATCCGTCTATTGAAGCGCTTATGCCCGCAAAGCTTGACCAGCCTACTGGCCTCCGAGACGGTGCTACTCATGTTGATGAAGGCAAACGTGCAAAGGCACGCAAGGTGAGTCTCCGTTGTTTTGTGTCGAGGTAGCAGCATTGATCATTGATGTTTAGGAGGAGGATGAGAAGACCGCTCAAGGGGCCTATATTCGGAACCTTGCAATGCGCAGTATGGGCAGCCGTGCAGGAGCCGAGGCCTCATCAAGTGAGACAGATGCACCATCGAGCAATGATGAATACAAGGAGAACCAGCGCCTCAAGAAGTGTAAACGTGAGGAGCCCGCATTGTATGTCCGTAGATCTAAGAAGCAGCGGCTTGATAAGACTCCATCTGGTCAACTCCTCCAGGTCATCAAGGATGTTCGAGGGGAGGAACGACGGGAGCGTCAGCAGCGTGACGACCGTCTGATCAACATCTTTGAGAAGACCTGCGAGGCCCAGTGCATAGCGCAAAGGGAACTTGTTGAGATTCTTACAAGCAGCCTTAAGCAGAACGAGTAGACTCATAACGTGCAAAGACTTGTATTTATGTGATATTATCTACATAGCATTTCCGTAATGAATCAAAGGCTACGCATGAAAGTAGTCACGGAGCTCTGGTGGGCGACAATCAAAATGCAGCGCGGTTTGGTTAGGACGAAAGCAGTTCCGGGCATTAGTGAACAAGACAGCGACACGGTAATATCTACCGATCGGTGACTGGTAAAGTCTATGCTTCCAAAATGTATACAGAAAAGGCCATGTAGTGAGAACGACACCAAAACCGTGCTCAACCTCAATCCGGGCACCAGACATACGGGAATTCAACTCTTGCTCTGCATCGGTACACTGCCCCGGGCCAGAGAATGGGGAGACAAGAAAAGGATTAACGCCATAGGCTGGATCACCATACAGCTGGAAGTAGCGGTGTTCTAGGGGAGTGTCATCATCGACACCCTCCTGAACAGCATACTTTGCACATTGATCCAGGAGCCCAGACTCCGACAGAGAAATGGATCCGTGCGACGACCCTCCCATGGCCCAAAGAGATGAGCAAACATACCATTGGGGATGATGACCGCCTGATACTTGAGCGCATGATACTTCTTGTAACCACTATATGCGGGGCGCTGAAACCAAGTGGGTCGGGCGATTCGACGAAGTGTGCAGTCGATGAAGCCCCAGATAGTGGACATCGGAGCACCAGCGCGGCGTATAGCAGCCGCATAGTTGGAAAGGTTGTGAGGAGAGAGGAGGTGATTGTGGTCGAAGTCAAGTAGGTGCGCCCAGGTGGCATCAATGAGACAGACCGTCTCGTTGATGATCTCGGAAATGGCGGACGCGCTGCGATCGTAATCTCTAACGAGATCGTAGATATCACCCGGTCTTGCAAGACGGGCGCAGGTAAGGGCAAGTGCTTCGATGCGAGGGACATTATAACGATGGTGCGTTACGAGGATGGGAGGGAGGCGAAGCACTTCTGCGAGCTCGACAAGCTCATCCGCAGTGAAGCTGGAACGTTTCAGTTATGCACTTTGTAGTTTCCTCTTGGTTTGCTCACCGGAACCTCCACGGACACTCTCTACTACCTAACTCCTGCAAAAAATCCCTTGTGATCCTCCGCCCTCCTTGCTCCGGTCGCGGGGCCTGGCTTGAGCCCTGGGCATGGTCTGCATCTATGAGGATAGCGCTCATCGGGAGAACAGTCGAGCCCACAGTAAGATATTCAGAGTCAAGCGCGCGAAGGTATGAAGGGAAAAGGCTTAGAGGTGCCGGAGGAGAAAGCAGAGCAGGGAGAACAGCTCGCACATGTCGAGTGACGACCATCGTGGTGGATGCGAGACGTTGTGGAGCGCCGAGCGTCAAACCTCCACTGGTTCTGAACCTGGAGCGCTTACAAATTGGACCGCCCCACCGATTCTATACCGCCTGCAGAAAGAGTCTAATACCGCCGCCACGGAGAATCGAGGCGCTACGGCGTTGAGGACTTACGAGATTGTAGATGATCCCAACAGCATGGCAGTCTTCGTGGTGAGCACCTACTGCTGCGATCGGACCGACTGTTCTTTGTTCAACGCTCTTTTTTAGGTGACACCTTCTGGCTCGTCGACTGAGGGAGAGAATTACGATGCGACGATCATGATCAGCCACAGGAAGCTGCGTACCTTGTTCAAGAATGCCGTAGACTGTGAGTGATCTATCCTGTACTCCTTCCTGCTACTTGATCGCTGCTGTCTAGGGTACCTGATCGCGAAAGGGTTTGACCCTAACCAAACCCGACTCTATCGGCTCGCGCAGATCATGCCCGTACGTCTTCAGTAATTGTAAGTCCATAAAACTCACGCAGTGGCTGGCAGCCGAGCGCGACGCGGCCCAACGTCGAATGGAGATACATGACGTTCCACCTACCGGACGATCTGGATAATCAGGCGCCAGTAACTCGGATGTTAGATCGCATGGACCGCAACAGCGTCAAGGAGTGCTGGGCGTTCATCAGGCGCAAGTTGTTGCATTTGAGCGCTATCTTTTTCATCGCATTCGTCACATTGTTTCTTCTCCTTGCCTAGAGTTAATACTCGTATGTGCGAATTCATGAAATACGATGATCCTTCTTCGTGCTTACAGAGTGCGGTATGCTGCGCAAGACCATCGGTCCTGCAAAACCCGCCTGTGAGGCCGCGATCGCGGATCAATCCTAGCGTTGATGCGAAGTATGTATGGTCGACGCGCCGCCATGGGCTTATGACCGGAGGAATCCAATGGATTGACACGAATTGCTGTAGTAAAGCAGTCAGTAACGCAAGACAGCCCAACAAGTGATCTCTCGTAAAGGCTGCCGTCCGCACTCTCCGCCGTTTCGCGACATAGGCGGAGGGATGTTTGCGTCATCTAACCCAGGAATGTATCCCCAGCCTTAGTATGCCTTGTCGGCTAGCGGACATTTTAACACTGACATCGCGCATTGCTCACCTGCCCGGCCCCCTAACCTCGCACAGGCTCTCGGGCGCGGTTGGCCGGCGAATGAGTCTTGGCCATCGAATGTCGTTGTGCGCCACATGCGGGAACGGCATTTGCGACAAGTCGAAGTTCATCATCTTAGGCGTCGGTTTGAACTTCGGCGTAGCACGCAAAATGGGCACTCACGGTATACAGTCAACATACTGATGAATTACTTAAGGAAGATTGATGACGTGCTGGGTCGCAAGAGGCGGTAGGATTCGTGCAGCTCGTTGAGTACACGATGCTCGCCCGCCTCGTCTGTGAATCTGAGAGGTGATGAGACCGCATAGATTGGGTCTCGTGGAACCACCTTGCGCACCTCATAAAGCCATAGCTAAGCGAGATGCCAGCCAACAATCCGACATGGTCTTCGCACTCCTGCAACCCAGGAACTGACGGATGAAGAGTAGCCCGCAATCATTCCGGCGGCCTAGCACAAGGTTGCAAACCGATTCGCAGATGACCTCGTCGGAGTCGTGCCGCCTCTCATGTCTTTTGGGTGCGGAGGAGCCTCCAGGCAGAATAGACCTTACGCTCGTTAGCTCATAGAGAACCCAGACATGAGATGTAGACCATACCTGAATGCCTCCCAATCGGCACTACTCTTCACTACTAACCTTGGAGGCCGTCGCAATCCCAGTCAGCTCGCAAATGAACACAATAATGAGCCCAAACGTAGGGAATTCTTGAGCTTGTCGTGAGCCAGTCCGTATTGCGCGGCGTCCAGGTCGAGCGAGAATATGAGGCTAGGTAACAGCGAGTAGAAGCAGGACGCATAGTACCGGTCGAAATCGAACGAGAAAATGACACATAGTACTTGGTTCTATAAGTAGCAGGAGGATAGGCGGCCACGCGAAGGGCATGGTGAGAGCAGAGTGGAGTCGTAGCGGGCCCGTGCATACGAAGGGATGAAGAGACTCCGGATGTCACGCGCCAGCGGTCGGGCGCTCAAGTTTTAGCGCTGACCACAGAACGTCTCGGAAGGCCCTTCCGAGATCGTCGACTTCGAATCCATAGGCACACGATGAGTAATGAAAACAAGGTGCCTATTAGTCTTCAATCAGCGAATTATGGTATGAAATGAGAGCTGCTAGTTTATTGAGAACGTATGTAGTAACCGGTGCGGATCGTCCACGAATCGTCAAGGCACAGGGCTAGCAGCGTCAGCCGGAGAATGACCGAGTAGAGTGTTATCGTAATAAGTCAGTCGTTAGTGCTACAAGAATAAGAACACGTAATCTGCCGTAGTCTTAGTCAGTAAGAATCTGGAATTGATCGAGTCTTGAGTCATCGTAAGGAGATAGTCGTGGATCCTGTGAATCGTCAGCACATGCAATCATATCGTTGTCAGCGTTTCGTATAGCGTTCCGTATATAGGTAACGTTGCCAAGCCTTCAGCCATCAGCGTGGGGACTCACAATCGCTCAGGACAGAATCTCTCGACGTGCCAGGCGTATCTCATGATTATAGGATACACGACGTATTCCCACTCCCTCCCTCGCGCAGAGCCGGGGTAGCGTCTGAGGGAGAATATCTCTTCATGTACATGATGGCCTGCAAATGATAAGTATCGTATGGGCGACTGTGGGAAGTACTTACAGCTCTTGCAGGGAACGCGCTCAGGGACGATACCCATGCGTGAGCCCTTGGGAGTCTGGTGGGGGAGTGTGGGCGAAAGGTAGGGGGCGTTTACCGCCACGTCCGCGAGCTCGAGGTGGACAAGCCGTTCGAGACGTTGCACGTATGGGACCATTCGGCCGGGCTTGATACGGCCGGCAGCCAGATCCTCGGGGCTCTCGTCAGGGTTGGGAGGGTAGTAGCCGAGGAGAACGGGATGGAGAGAGGGGCAGTTCCGAAGGTGTTCGCTATACCGCCTGTTGAGCTGATTCGTTCGGCCAACAGAGGCATCTGCACGACATTATTGGGCGATTGTATTGTTGACATAGTCGTACGCACCGAGTATCAGAAGAGCGTACAGGTATCCCCATGTGTCGGACTGAGATGGGGGCTTCCGAAGTGTTTCCCGAAGGTAGACTTCGGTGATATCTTCCACGTACGGCGGAATGTACGCTAGGCGACGTGCTGAGATGAACGACTTGAATTGCAATATAGACTTACCATTGAAGGGACGCACTTCTCCGGGGAATCGCAAACACTTGAAGTGCGTTCCGGCCAAACCCTGCTGGAGGTGGTCTTCACAGTAGAATGGGAGATCGGCGGCGTTAGGGTAGGGAGTCACCGTTGAAGTCGGGACGAGGCGGCTGCAACGGACGTCGCGATGCGTCACGCCCGAGCATTGGACTTTGGACGGAGGCAGTCGTACGGCACGATACTTTTGAATAGCAGCGCGCTGAGGGGTCGTATTGCTGGGCGTATAAGACATGGTAATGGACAGTGGTGTTGTAGGCAGAGCTGGGTTGTCGGAGCTGTGTGCAAACTGTAGCAGTCGGGGTGAAGGGTCAAAGTGAGGAAGCGCCGCGAGCAACCAAGAGTAGCGGTATTGAGAGGGTCCCAGGAGTGCCGGATAGTGGAAGACCCGGCTTCCAGGTGTTGAACGTGGGCGATTTCAGACGTTAGACAGCAGAGTAGCAGTGGGATGGGATGAGAGTCGGACACGGCGGATCCTGCGAAGGCGTTTGCGGGCGCTAAAGCGGTATACGGGTGAAAGGAGGCTTTGGGTCAGGGTTGGGAGATGAGAACCACGCCGAGTAGAAGGAGCAGCTGTGAGGCTATGAAATTGTCAATAGGACCAGTAGCTGATAGAGAGGAGTGGGATGGGGTGAATGAGAGGGATGAGATGGGCTGCCAAGGTTTAGTGGGTGCGTTGAGTGAGAGTACTGAGACGGGTTGAGTGCGAACGAGACGGGTTAAGTGAGGGCACTTAAATTGGTTGAGCCAGAGCGAGAGGGTGATCCACCACCGCAGCGCAGGTGTGATTGGACATAATAGCAAACATCCCCAGTCACTGCCGAGAGAGGTATGCAGACAGGACTAGTACGACGGCGCTCCAATCAGCGCTCTGGAGAGGCAGCCTGCAGCGAGCGTCGTAGAGTTAGGAAAATTTGACTGATGTATCAGAACCAAAGGGTGCCCTCATATGGGAGATCGGGGAAATTTGGACTGTTTCCGAGAGGAGGGCATGGAATTGAGCAATATGTGGAAAACAGCGCGAGATGATCGCCCATTTTGGACCAGAGGCGAAAGGGGCCAGCATAAGGTGAGCGTGATGAGGAGGGGTTCATCGGAACCTTTGTGCAAAGAGGTCCAGGACGTTGTAAAATCGAACAATCCAGGGTCGGTGTGGCTATGTGAGGACTGTGAGTGATACGGTAACCTACGAAAGTGCGCAGCCATGTTCGCTTATGTCAGGAGCGATGAATGCAGGCTCTTACCGCATTCTGTCATTTGACGGTCGGCGTGAGGTAAGCCACAGTGTGATCATTCTGCAGAATTTGTGTGTCGCAATTGGCTAGAGGACTACACCTGAATTGCAGATAGGCACCATACCGATGGCGTGAGTTCCGCCGACTTGTGAGGTATCATGAATCATCCCCATGGCCAGTGAATGATTGCTTGGGACACGTATTCTTGTGGCCCATTCGGGACGGTAGCAGACCAAAGACAAAATAAAATCTGTTTCAATGCATTAGAACAGCCTATGAATGCGTCCATCCACTCACATATTCTTCTATGATGACTGGGTGGTGGATTGGGACTGAGGTGCATTGCTAGTGACAGCACACGCGGGGTTTCGGGCGCTAATGGCACTGCCACCCGCTGCTAGGCTCGTGCACTGCCGAGATTCGGTGATCCAGATTCACACTCCGCACGCGCGTTCCGTTCCACTGGTTTGGAGTCTATGCCGCTGCTAAGTCGATCTTGGGAGAGTTCCTGTGCATCACGCGCTGCGGGCAGGTAGCACCGTTGGCTGGCTGCTGACCACCAGGAAGGTTAGGACACCAAACCAGAGGCTTGATCTCGATCAGCATGGTAGCTCTATGGCACAACGTTGGGTACAAGGTGTAAAAGAGCAGCTCAGAGATAGGATGAGGGACGTGGATTGGGAGATGCCTCGAATACAGGACGGGAAAGAGGAAGAGGGGCAATAGCGGGCGGTTCATTACAGAAAAGGGTGTAAGGGCTGATGATCGTAGGGCTATACATCTGAATATGAGCAGAAGGCCTTTCTGAAGGCGCTCACACATTCGCCATCGGCGTTTGTTCCGAAACCGTCGACTGCGCTGCTACGGCCACGGTGAGCGAGTATCAGCGCTGATGACGAGATGCGGACGCACTGTTCCCCTTCTCCTGGCTCCATTGTTGCTACTGAAGCTTCGTCGACATGTTCTCCGGGCGTGATCAAATCGGCGAAAGAAGCGGTGAAGGTCCTAACTTCCATGGAGAGTGTATGCATAGTCAGTATCAGCTCGTCGAAGTTTTGGGCTGCCCACTGTCGCGGCTCTGCGGCAGTCGCAGTCGAAGCCTCGTCCAACTATACGTAATGGCATGAAGCTTACTACACAATGGTGCAGAAGAGCACTCATCACTCACCACAGCCTGGGTAGAGGGTGCATCTACGACGCCATGCTCGCCCGAGATGTCCGTAGAATGATTCTTCAGGGTATCAGCGCCGAGAGGAGCATCCTGAAAAGCGTGCCCCGGGGAACCATCCGGGATAGTGGCGAGGTCGATGCTACTGGTCTGTTCATCGGCAGCAGCAGGAGTAACGGGAAAAGCGCCGGGCATAGGCGGTATCAGGTCATTAGTACCGCTCAGAACTGGCTGGATCTCGGAGCCGCCCGTATCTCGTACCTCCGGATTTTGAGTCACGTCCTCCAAGACGCCGTGCATCCGTTACTGGTGCGTCACGTCTCAAAAGAGGCAGGCCTCGCGAATGACCATCGCCAACCGCCGCAACGCGTGTGCTTGCATTGGGAGTATAGTACCTCTTTCAGAAGCCGTCGGTCTCCTCGAGCCTAGCTATATATACAAAATGCTGCAAGGCGCTATATTGAGTAGCCTAAGGCGGATCACCGCTGGAGTTTCATGATATAATTTATTTATGCCTCCCATCTCGGCGACTCTAGCGCACAACGGAGACGTGGCACAAGTCGCGCATACTCCACAATTTCAGAGAGGCTTACTCATAAACATCGTCGCGGATATCGGACTCTCAGAATGCAATCGAGAGCACCCTCAGGTGTATGACGACGGTGTTGAAAAATGACAACCCGCTTCACGAAATGTGCGGGCTGAGACAACGCGCAAGGCTCACAGAGTTGTCCGGCTAGTGAACGCAAATCTTGGGTACTCTCGCGAAGCTGCTTTATATGGAGCAAGCTCCTTCTATTGGACAAGGGGGTGCGCGCGACGACCGCGAGTGCGATTGCGCGCGTCCTGTCGGTCATGAGACGTGATGAAGTAGTAACGAATGCACGGCGTCTTGGAAGACGTGACTCAAAATCCGGAGGTACGAGATACGGGCGGCTCCGAGATCCAGCCAATTCTGAGCGGTACTATTGTCGATGTCAGTCGGCTCTGCAGCGATGCCAGGATAGTTCAGGAACATATGCATCAGCGCTCCTACAAAGCGCAAAAAACGGATGTGGCGGGAGGCGGAAGCTCTGGAGGACTGTGGGATGCCGCGCGCCATGTCGGTTTGGGGAAAACCTGAGCGGATGATTCAAGAATCAGAGGGTTTATGAGTTCAGGGTCCCGGTAGAAAGGGCGGAAGTTCTGCCGATAAGGACAAGAGAACTATCAATCGCGCAGAGTCCAGACATACGCATAAAGGAGCCGCAAAACAGGTCGACGGGCATTGGGGAGGCGCGGGGGGGAATGGGTGGCACAATCGGGAGATATCGACAAGCTGATGGATCGGCGGCTCTTGAACACGCTGCATACGATTCCAGTATCCCAACGTCGTTCAACAAAGTGTCAGAGGGCAGTCATGAAGAGCGTTTCAAGGCTTGTCGTGCATGACCGGTTGATCCTCCGTTCCAGTGCGAAGGGTGCTACATACGTCGACAGAAGGCCTGAGTGACCCTAATATCAGGAGGCGTAGCGCCATCAGCTAAGTGTGACGAGACGTCCACGTGATGGGCGCCGCCTGCTCTCGCGTGCCACTCAACTAGTGCCGCGAGTCCCATCGACTTCCTTCATTCTCCGTCCGAGGACAGGTCGCGAATCGCGATGGCCCCCTCTGGCTCAATCAGCGTACTTCTATCGCTACCTCCTCTCGTCATCAGCAAAAGTACACAATGATTGGTCTCGATTCTGCTTGAAAACCCTCATATCTAATCCATATGATTGACCCAATTGATTGTGCTGAGGGTCGAGAGTTGTCGCGGATTCCTGTTCGTCACAATTGAGACATGGGATCGGCCTCGCTTGCAACTGAGCCAATTGAAGAGAATTGACACAATCGCATGGCCCGATTCCCTCCAATTCCTGAAATTCCCTTCGTGCGCTTTTGATTGGTTTGGATTCCCCTAGTGGCAATCAAAAAAGCGGTAATTCACCCGACTTGGACCTCATCCGGCACGAATTAAGGGCAATAATATATATATTGATGCATTGTCTAGTACAGTATGGCGACGTGTATTTACTGCACAACGATGAAACTACAGTGTATAGACCTCAGGCCTCAGCACATCAGCAGACATACCTGCTGATCGACGTCGGAGTCAACGACATGCCTAGCTTAAGGGGCAAGTCCATTGATCGATAAAATGAAGCACATACCTGTTTGTACATCACGAAGACTTACCTCGTATGGCAGCGTACTTATACGCGCCTCAAAGAGACCAGACACACTCACCTAGGAGGACTTACCACGATATGCGCATACATTGACTCACCTTGTGCCCGCAGAGCGCTG